GTGTTCTACGTCACAGTTTGTGTAAACTGGTGATAACTGTGTTCTACGTCACAGTTTGTGTAAATTAGTGATAACTGTGTTCTACGTCACAGTTTGTGGCGACGGTTACTTCAGACCTTCTCTAGCTCAGTTACTGAAACCAGTGATGAATGAACTCCATGTAACTTTGTGTTCCCAGTGCAGGAATTAAACATATATATTTAGCGTTTTAAGCGTCAACTTGCTGTTGAGCTATCCGAAGGCAACACGCAGAGCTAGACAATGAGAGTTGGCAATGAAAAACAACTTTGATTTTAACCGACGATAAAATACAACAATAGAGCAGATAGTGGCTAACGTTACCTCCACCGACGATAAAATACAACAATAGAGCAGATAGTGGCTAACGTTACCTCCCCTTGAGCTTTGGAATAGTAAATAGTGAAATAATAAGTCTTATAACTCTGGCGTATCGATAGCAACACGTTCAGAATGACATCTATAATGGGATTATAAAGCGAATTCATACACCGAACAACGGAAACTTCGTGGAAGTGACACTGACTTTCATATTTTAACAGAATCTTTTGAGACATGTCTTCCTTTCCTTACTTTGTAAAACTGAATACCGGGTCTCGAATGCCGTTCATAGGAATAGACACTGTACTGGTAAGATAAACTGTACCAGAATCTTTAATTTTAAACATCTTTGAATAGATACTGTACTGATAAGATAAACTGTACCAGACTCTTTAATTTTAAACATCTTTGAACAGCCAATGTACTGGTAAGATAAACTGTACCAAAATCTTGATTTTTGACACATTATAATAGACGCTGTACTGGTAAGATAAACTGTACCAGAATCTTTAATTTTAAACATCTTTGAATAGACACTGTACTGGTAAGATAAACTGTACCAGACTCTTTAATTTTAAACATCTTTGAACAGCCAATGTACTGGTAAAATAAACTATACTAGAATATTTAATTTTAAACATTTTAGAGTGATGAAAACGTTCTATTGGTAAACTTAATGTTACTGTTTGACTAGAGATAAATAAATAAGTTAACATATACTTCGCCTTTATATATTTTTTAGTACCACTACTATGGTAACCTTCGGTAGTTATGCAACATTTCTATATGAAACATCTGATAAAGTATAACCAAATAACATGACTTAATACAATGTTTTTGTTATTTTTACTTCAAATTGAACATTATACTCTCGTACAAATTCTAGAATATTCTATTTCTTTTGAAATTATTCATATTTCGCATCATATACAGTAGAAGCTTCTGAGATTAACAATATGTGTGTGTATATATATATATATATATTTCGGTACCACTTGCGCTGTTCACGCGATCTGTAAATTTATAAAAAAATATTAAATAATATTTTACGGACTCTCACGTAAATCGATTATGCTAGAATATTCGAAAATATAAAAACTGCGAACGTAAATAGCTAGTTGTTTTCTTTCATAGAAAAAAGATTTTTTGAAGATTTTTTTGGAAAATTAAGATATACCAAATACATAATATACGTTATCACCGTAGATGGAACCTCATGAAGTCTCTTATCTGTTAAAAAGTGGCATTAGTGTCGGGTATCGACTTATTGAAACTGTTTATGCTCATAATAATGCAGCAGAGATAGGAAAAGTACTGGGCGCTATAATGAGATCAGGAAAACTCGAAAGAGCAGACCTTTTTATTATCACAAAGGTAAAGCGTTTATATGTTGATTGTATTCTTAACTTCTTCTACCGGCGCTGTTACAAATAATTTATATTTAATTACATTCTTTAATTAGCCTATTTACATGTTTCTAAGTTATGATATTGAATACTTTTATATGTTTAGATTACGATAATAAATAATCTTATGTGCATAAATTATGTCAATGAATAATTTTACATGTTTAGATTATAATGATAAATAATCTTATGTGATTAAATTATGCTAATGCATAATTTTACATGTTTAGATTATGATAATAAGTAATCTCATGTGCATAAATTATGCTAATGAATAATTTTATATGTTTAAATTATTATGGTAAATAATCTTATGTGCATAAATTATGTTAATGAATAATTTTACATGTTTAAATTATGATGATAAAATATGTTGTACATGTTTAAATTATGATGATAAATAATCTTATGTGCTTAAATTATGTTAATGAATAACGTTATATCTGTTTAAATCATGATGATAAATAATCTTATGTGCTTAAATTATGTTAATGAATAACGTTATATCTGTTTAAATCATGATGACGAAATATGTTGTACATGTTTTACAAATAAAAATTAACAGTATATCCATTTTCAAATTATGATGCTGAGTAATCTGAAGTTAATACTGCATTTCCGTTCCGCTTCCAGCTACCTATACGCGATCACCGGCGGGAAATGGTGAAATATTTCTTAAAGGAGTCTTTAGATCGTCTGCAACTAACATACGTCGATCTTCTATTGTTGCACTATCCTGCCAATGACGAGGTAAGGTTTTTCACCAATAATCTTTTGCAACAAATCTTGAACAACTTTTCTATTGCACATGTTTACGAAACGTTTAAACTGATAATTAATTAGCTTTTACCTCTAAATAGGCTTTCGTTTATTCCTAAATAACTGAGCAATGTGACATTTCCACAACAGACGCCATCATTGTAACGGCTTAAGATTATATGTTTGTCGTTACGCAGAAACTTATACGATGGCTTATCTGTGCGCTCTCTACCGCTGGGTATCGAAACATGATTTTAAGAGTTGTAAGCCCTCATACTTACCCCTGGGCTACAGTTTCAAAACAGTGATTGAAGCTGTTATTTTCCTATGTATTTGTACGTATACGTTCTTCAACAATATTTTAATCCATAAAAATTGCGATTTAGAAAAATATATAAATAGAAAAAAAAAAAGATAAAATCAATATCCAGTAAATCGGACCAAATCTACATTTAGTTTAGGGTTTCGTTTAATCTTTTTCTCATTTTAATTTATTAAATGATTTTGATCGAGTACATAATATATTACACTTTTCTTACCACGCTAATGCAGTGTGATAAATAAATTATTCACTGTATCATATCTGATTGCTACGGTGCTGAGACAAGCGTGGCCTAGAGCTTAGCGTACCGGTATGTGGATGAAAAGGTTCATGGTTCACGTCCCGTCATCGGAAATAATTTGCGCTCTCTATTTTGGAGTTGTGGGTGTGTTATAAGAGTGACGGGTCAAGTAACATTACAAGGGTTAGCAATGGGTGTTCTTGACTAGTTGCTTTCTCTCCACATTTACGCCCTCTATTTTGGAGTTGTGGGTGTGTTATAAGAGTGACGGTCAAGTAACATTCCCAGGGTTAGTAATGGGTGTTCTTGACTAGTTGCTTTCTCTCCACATTTACACCCTCTATTTTGGAGTTGTGGGTGTGTTATAAGAGTGACGGTCAAGTAACATTCCCAGGGTTAGCAATGGGTGTTCTTGACTAGTTGCTTTCTCTCCACTCTATTAATTTGAAATTAGAGACGACAGACACGGATAGTTCTTGCTTAGCTTTGCGCGAATATCCAAAATAATCAGTCAATTATGGTAATAACTAACAATGGATATATAAATGACGTTTAATCATATAATATTTTTAAGTATGAATTAAATGTTAACTTTTCATGGAAAATCGTTGTACGATACGAAATTACCTTCGGAGCCTGAATTTCGAATTTGTAAGTTGTTTTGAATACGAAACTGTATTCGATTCTCAGAAACGGTCAGCCATCTAGTGATTATCCAACATGGCTGCTGCAGGCATAGTTAAACATAAATATCTTGTTGAAAAGTAACGCTTCAAGAAACTTTATAACGACCGAGTTACATTAATTTGCTTGGAAATAACATCTTGTTTGCTGAAAATTGAAAACTAACTCGTGTGCTTAATTTATCATGAAAAAGGTAACATGGAAAAGTTGATTCTGACGGACTTTTCGCTTGAAACAGTACGTAACAACACAATACGATAATAACAAGAAATCTTGTTTCAAACCATAGGTTTGTAAGTTATACATAGCATGGCTTCCGTAACTGCCGGTGGGACCTGATGTGAGCAATATACAATAAAGCTTCAGTTACTGCTGGTAGAACCTGGTGTGACAATATACAATAAGGCTTCAGTTACTGCTGGAGAACCTGGTGTGATGGGACCTAATGTGAACTATATATAGTAAAGCTTCGGTTACTGCTGGTGGGGCCTGGTGTGAGTTATATACAGCAAAGCTTCAGTTACTGCTGGTAGAACTTAGTGTGAACTATATACAATAAGGCTTGAGTTATTGCTGGTAGAACCTGGTGTGAGCAATATACAATAAGGCTTCAGTTACTGCTGGTAGAACCTGGTGTGAGCAATATACAATAAGGCTTCAGTTACTGCTGGTAGAACCTGGTGTGAGCAATATACAATAAGGCTTCAGTTACTGCTGGTAGAACCTCTTGAGCTACTGCTGGTAGAACCTGATATGAGCTATATACAATAAAGCTTGAGTTATTGCTGGTGGGACCTGGTGTGAGCTATATACAGAAAAGCTTCAGTTACTGCTGGGAGAACCTGGTGTGATGGGACCTAATGTTAACTATATATATAGTAAAGCTTCGGTTACTGCTGGTGGGGTCTGGTGTGAGTTATATACAGCAAAGATTCAGTTACTGCTGGTAGAACTTGGTGTGAACTATATACAATAAGGCTTGAGTTACTGCTGGTGGGACCTCGTGTGCGTTATACATAGTAAAGCTTCAGTTACTGCTGGTAGAACCTGGTGTGAGCTATATGCAATAAGGCTTGAGTTATGGTTGGTGGGACCTGGTGTGCGTTATATACTGTAAAGCTTCAGTTACTGCTGGTAGAACCTGGTGTGAGTTATATGCAATAAGGCTTGAGTTATTGCTGATGGGACCTGGTGTGCGTTATATACAGTAAAGCTTCAGTTACTGCTGGTAGAACCTGGTGTGAGCTATATACATTAAGGCTTGAGTTATTGCTGATGGGACCTCATGTGCGTTATACAAAGTAAAGCTTCAGTTATTGCTGGTGGGACCTGGTGTGAGTTATATACAGTAAAGCTTCAGTTACTGCTGGTAGAACCTGGTGTGAGTTATATACAATAAGGCTTGAGTTATTGCTGGTGGGACCTGGTGTGAGTTATATACAGTAAAGCTTCAGTTAC